TGTTCCAAATTGATGGCATGGACGGGCTTCTGTGGCCTGCATCAACCATTCATTGCATGCTGGCTGCCTAGGGAGGAGCCAAGGACTTGAAAGAGCCAGTTCCCTTTTGCTGAGTGCAAGGAGACAGCGGACAATGCAGTTGCATAGAGTGTGTATGTTTCAGCAGGAGTGGAGGGCTTTCTGGAAAAGTGGGTGAAAAAATGCACTTGTCGGCTCCCTTTTAGACTTTATTGTCCCCGCATCCCTCCTGTTGCAGTGGGCAGCAAAGGACTGTTTTCCCATAGTAAGTTTCTCCCCGTATGTATATTGTGGCAGAGGAAGGGGTTATGTTGATTCTAAACATTAAACAACATTCCTTTTGTCACATAGTATAACCTTACCTGAGAAAGAAGGCTAGAAGAAGAGAGAGAAAAAGGAGGAATGGCTCTTCTCCAGGTAAAAGTCATATTTTTCATTAATTGTTCTTCTTCTTAAAATGTCATATTTTGGACTTGTTAATCTTCTCTGTCTCCGAGATGTCCTGCCTAAATGTTTACTCACACCCAGGGCCTTCTCCCAGTCTCCTCTCATCTCCATACAGAGTCCAACTCACTCTGACCCAGTGACATCTAACTTGGGAAGAGGCTCCTTTTCGATAGTCATCCTGTGAAGGATTTTCTACATAGGCAAGGACTGGAGATGGGGAGTGGGCATTGTGGTGTCCCTGAGGTTAGGCAGTAAGGATTCTTCAGAGACCCCTTCTGGATGCCCTTTCAGCTCATATAAATAAATGAGGATTAAAGAGATTACATATGTAAGTAACATATTAATGTGCACAAGTACCTGAGGAACCCTGGAAAATAAGACTGATGGAGGAAATTTGCTTTGTCTGATTTTACAAATGCCTTTTGATGTTAAATGAGGGAGTCCTTGTGCTTCTGACTCCACAATATTAATACTTTGGAATAGGATGGGAAGTTCAAAGTAGGAATAAAGAATAGAGTGAGCGTTTTGTTTTATTAACATTGGTTTTAAAGTATAGAATCAACCTACTTCTCTAACACTACATGTTCTTGAATTATTTATAGTGCATTCATCTCATAAAGACCATGGTGTTCTTTTAGGAACTCTTACACTGTGCATCTTTTATATAAAAATGTTTCTAGTTTAACCAGACATAGGAGCAGAACTTTCTGTCATCAAAAAGGCTGGTGCTCAATTTTCATTTTACGAATTATTCTTAAATGTTATTATTTTTCTTTTGTACTAAACCCCCCTAGTGTATATTTTTGTGGTTCAGATTCACACAGGGATGCATTTTAGAAACTAAGAAGTAAAATATCCCCTTCCCTGTCACATCTCCTACCATCACAGATTGTCTTCACCCAGAAGCTACGTTCTCTTTAGTGCAAATCTTCTAAAAATGCATTTACATATTGTAAAGTGATTTTAGAATATATTCTTCAGTAAATGTTTTCTCATCATATTTTACTCTGCAGATTGAAATATTTACATACCATATGTCTTGAAGTTGTTCTCATGTTAGTAAACATAGAGATAACTGCATTTTTAGATCCTTATTGGAACATTCTCTAAATGAAGAAACATGGGTCTTTTACAATTTCTTACTGTTACAAAGAATGTCATCGTGGCTGCTTCTGAGAAGGCTGACTTCACTACAGATATCTAAGGATATCTTATGATTGTACATCTTAAGCACGTTAATGATGGTCTTTCTGAGGAGGCAGAGACATTCCACTTAATAAAGATTTAAATTTTTTTTTTTAATATTTATTTCTGAGAGAGAGAGACAGAGCATGAGAGGGGAGGGGCAGAGCGAGAGAGGGACACAGAATCCGAAGCAGGCTCCAGGCTCTGAGCCATCAGCACAGAGCTCGACCTGGGCTCGAACCCACGAACTGCAAAATCATGACCCAACCCGAAGTCGGACGCTTAACCGACCGAGCCAGCCAGGCGCTCACTAAAGATTTTAAATCAACTGTCTTGAAAATCTTCAGCTAAAGGAAAACATGAAAGAGAACTAAGGAGTAGGAGAACAGTGTTTCAACACATAAAAAATGTCACTAAGGAGATAGAAATTATAGTAAAGGGATGGAATAGAAATTCTGGAGTTAGGCAAGTATAGACACCAAAACTCAAAATTCACTAGAGAGTTCATCAGCAGGTGGGCAATAAGAAAGAATCAGTGAACCTAAACATCGGTTAACTGAAATTATCAAGTGTGAGAAGAAAGGGGACAAAAGCAGAATAAAAGGGAAAAAAAGAAAAATGAACAAAGAAACCTCTGGGACACTATGAAGAATACTGATATACACGTAATAGGAGTCCCAGAAGGAAAGGATAAAGAAGAAAGGGGAGAAAGAATATTTGAAGAAATAAGAGCTGAAAACTTGCCAAATTTATCAAAAACAACCTACACATCCAAAAACTCAATGAACTTCAGCTATGACAGATGCATGGAGATCCCTGGCAAGCACATAATCGGTCAACTTTTATAAGACAAAGGAGTGAATGCGGAATGTAGCAAGACAGAAACAACTTCTCATGTACGGGGCTTCTCAATAAGTTTAACAGCCTATTTCTCCTCAGAAACTGTGGAGGCCAGGAAGCAGTCTCCTGTGGTATTAAAAGCTTGAAATATTAAAAAAAAAAAAAAAAACCTGTCAGGAATTCCTTATGAGGCAACTATACTTCAAAATTGATAGTAAAATTAAGAGACTCCTAGAGGAACAAAAGCTGAGGGAGTTCACACTTACAGACTTAGCTTACATGAAATACCAAATGGAGTTCTTCAGTCTGAAAAGGATGGAAACTAGCGGTACATCAAAGCCATAGGAACAAATAAAGAACACTAGT